CCCCAAAACCCCAAAACCCCAAAACCCCAAAACCCCTCATAGAAGGTGTGCCTTTTAAATATTAAAACAAGATATCACTCTAAGCTTTAACGATAATGTCAACTCTTGGTGTTCTCCAATGCTTAAAAATTACTCCTGCTTCAAAATGCTGGGGAAATATTAGCCAGTTCCTCAGATTGGGTCTAATTCTTCAAGGTTTTAAGTAAGATGAATTTACTCACACTTAATCCTAAATGTGTTAGAAGTTATTCCAGCAACTTTTTGGAATTTCTATAGATCGATGATGAAATGCAAGTACATTCATGAACATTTGGGCATCAAACCCATTCTGAGAATAGAAAGTATTGGAATTTCCTGAATGCTTATTTCTGATTTTAAATATGTCTCCAATATTTTACCTGATAAAATCTATAGTATCGATAGTAGCATTTTGGCCACTTTATCTAGTTTTTACCTAAACTGCAGGTTTTAGCAACTCTTTGAATCTTGAGGACAAGGCTGTCGAAAGCCTTCTAAGCCTCTGATGATTACTGTTGATTACCATCAGGATTCTAAAGAGTCGAGCAAAGTCAATATCTCAAAGATGTTACACATGTATTTAGTATGTAAAGTTTTTAATGGTCTCTACCTTCAAATTCAGAACAGTTGAATATTCTCTAATAATTAACCCCAATTTTTCAGAAGTGTTATTCTCGTTTATAAATTATTTTCTAAAAATTCAATAATATTTACAAACACATTTTATATGGTTCATCACATCAACTAAAATTTTCTTGTTGGAGGACGGCAATTTTTTAAGATAAATTCCTTAACTAAATTAGAACATATGCAATGCTTTTGGCATGGCCCTAGTAATCTTTTATTAATATTTTACCTGAGAAAATATTTCAAGACTCTGGAGATGCTTCTTCTTGAAATGTATTCATTTATTCAGGTATTAAGCTTCCAATATTCCTGAAGTTAAGATATCTCTATGAGTCAAAAATTCTGACTTTGATAATCATGAGGGGAGAAGGCATCGTTAAAATTGTCAAAATATTCCTATTGAGAAAAATTATTGCTCTTAAAGAATTTTTAGCAATAAAGAAAATACTGAAATGATTTTACTAAATGTGATCTTACTGATAAAATTATATCCTCAATGAGCAAATATGGGGATAGCCACGTATTCACTAAAATATAAAACTGATAGATTCATTAGGAGTCTCAACACATATAGCATGAACAACTTATATGAAATATCTTAATTCTTCTACCTTGGAGGTTTAGTTTCTTCTTCCTCCTTTAGTTTATGCCCAGAATCGACTTCTATTGGACTCTCATCTCCTGGAAAAGTCTTTAAAGTGTTTCTCTTGTGCTAGACTGCATCTTTGTACTCAGAATTTCTTTCTATGAATTTTCTGAAAGTCTGCATCGAATTCTTTTAGAACAACTTTCTTTCTCTTATTAGTTGTTTATATTTTGAGGATGAAAGCAGTCTTTTCAGGATTAGAGGGTATAGTATTTTTAACTTTCAAGACTTGCTTGGAAATTTGAGTAAGGGATCAATCTAATCCATAATGCTAGAGTCTATTTTAATAATTTTTATTTCCTAAAAATGCCAATTTCAACCCCTATTGCTCCTCTTGGGGTTTTGGGGTTTTGGGGTTTTGGGGTTTTGGGGTTGAAATTGGCATTTTTAGGAAAT